AGATAATTATATATATATATATATATATAAGTAAAATGTTTTTTTAAAGTAGATTTGAATCTGTACAACTTTCTCGACTAGAAGCATGTTCAAGAATACAAATTGACTACATCAACTCTAACAACCTGCTCATCACAGTACATTTACTAGGTAAGGTATTGTAGGGCTTTTATACCCTCGCTTGCGTGTATGGGTTCTGACGCCTCGTTCTATCAGATGATATACAAGGAGAGAGATATGAATGAAGTGGATGGCTAGTGTCTGATAACATAACACCTGCCAGGAGTTTACAAGACGTTAGATGCTTATTCACAATCACACATTAATAAGGAGCCCCGAAAGATTCACCTCACATCCTGACAACTGATTTCAGCACTCTTGACAGTACCACAGTCCTTTCTCAAAAGCCCGGGAATGAATAATGGCGAAGTCATTATAATTTATTACCGAATAAACTCGTGTCAACTCTACTCACTGATCTATTTGACAGATCGTTCCATTACGATTAGAATAATTATCATGTTTCCATTATCACATTAATGTCATATCATCACGTAACGTGGGAGTATTATTACTTTTCGTATTGACATTCACGCAACTATGTCACTCATCTAACAAATTATAATTTTGTGAACATTCCACTGACGTGATGAAATTCGAAACTCACTGAACTGATTTTTATGTCATTATAGCGCGCATTTTTTTCATTTCGATATAATCTATTTGTCAAACAGTGAACAATATGGGTTTAGGAAGGGATTACTTTGCTCAATAAGCCTTATAACATGAGAAATGGACGGAGGTTCCAGGTAATGGAAAATCACTGGATTCCGCCTACGTAGACTTCCGCGAAGTGTATGATCAGATTCAGAATAATACCCCCCCTAAAGCTAGAGAATCTAGGAATTGCTGGACCTATCTCAAAGTCAAACAAGGGTTTCGTAGCAGATTGTAGGCAGGAAGTAAGAATAAATTCAAAATCCCCCCCTGGGAACCGGTACTTAATAGAGTACGTCAAGACTCTCTCCTAGGTGATCTACTTTTTATACTGCATGTAAATGGTCTCTCAAGCATAGTTAAGTCTCCAGTACTGCTTTATGATGATGATTTAGGAATTTGGCGAGAAACGTCAGAAAATCTAACTTTCCTACTCATTGGGATATTGCAAATACACTAACTTATTTATTGCTCTGTTTTCATGATATTTCGAATCGCCCATACGAACATGTTATTTTATCGTTCAGTCAGTCGCGTCATGAATGCATGTTAAATTTTTGTACACTTACTGATTTACTCATAATCACTTGCTAACATTTTCACTTTTATTCTAGTCTTGACGATATGAATGTACCTTTTTACATAAGGATAACACTTTCGTATAATATATTCACCCTTCACGTGATACTGTGATCTATGGTGTATAGTACAACTGTTTTCGCTACGTATTGTTAGCGTTAACCACATACCTCTTCAGTGTTATTTCCAAAAGCAGACATTTTTTTTAGAAATTAATGTATTATTAATTTGATTTTGTTTATGAATGCACACACGCTCCTTCGCCCTCATTTATTTTGCATACGTGTTTCTTCCGGACATTCTGAGGGAGGATCTACGTGAGGAATAGTGCTATGTTAACCCTACATAGTTTATTCTAACTTCCAAACAAGCCAATCTATTCATTCTTCTTAAACCACATTTTGACCTTGTCACTTATTAGCTTATTTATTCTGATTGTTTCTAGATGAGCGTATGTGTGTGCACATCTTATACTACTCATCATATATCTGTAGATTATTTTTATCTGGTTATAAATATTGATTAAAGCTTGATTAAACCGAGTTGGCCCGCTTGCCTTCTCCAATATGCTTCACTTTTCCCTGTTTCGTTTCCTTGATTGCCTTTTCAAATCACTAAATGAATGAAATATACATATTCAAAATTCATTCTCGTATTCGGCCTATTTGATTCTTATCAGAATGAGGGTTTGTGGAAATTTTGGTGATATTAATGGTTGAATTTATGAGTCGATTTAAGCTACATAAAGTGGTGAGCTTAAGTAATACATATGAAATAGCCGGGGATCTACAAACCAGTTGAAGTCAAACTGGGCTTGTGTGAACATTTGAAATAGGTTAACAAATTATTACTAACCTGAAATGGGCTAGAAATTCGACAGGACGAAATCACGAAGTCAAATTTGAAATAGAATTGACTTGTATTCTATCAGTGTAACATTAAAAAATGTAACACAAAACATTTGATTGTACAGTAACTCTACTGGATATTCACCAGAGATATATATGTAATTATGTTATACGAACGAGCTAGCAACGATTTGAATGAAAAGGTAAGTGCTTGATCGAAAATGCAAGTCTTTTCGATATGGATAATTGTTCTCTGTACTTATGAGAAATAAAGACGACCTGTTTAAATAGCTAGTGAATATCACCTTCGAACAGCAAGGTCTGTCGATTTGATTGATTACTAAACTACATTGGCCAATAATAACCTTATCTACACGGCTTCAATCTCATTACTTTCCTCGCCCAAAACAATTACTTTTTCCGAGGATACCAACTTAGTCAGAATCGGGGAATAAAGATCTGGTTAGCACGACTGAGGCAACTAATCTAAGACCAAACGTTAAATGCTCATTGATTGCGAAAAGCTCAGAGTTAATATTGGTAGGCTTTTGGCAGCATAAAACAAATGGTAACCCACAACGACAAAGCGTTGTGCCTGCTGGCACAGGAGTTTATCTAGCATAACATCTTTGTGAGGACGGAATCTAGAACTGTAACCTAAGAGGATATGACAAGTTGTACTGGTATTACTTGTTAAAAAGAAGAGATTTAGGTTCATAACAATTGGAATACAATGTATGGAAAGAGGTAGGTTTCTAACTAGTTTACAACACTCATCGTTTAGAAATTAGCACAGAGCATTAACAGCAGACAGGAAAGCTGACACCAGTAAACCTATGAATTAACAGTAGACAATAAATACTCCAATACTTGGCGAGGTTAATTTAAACTAGAGCCGAATAAAACAATTAAAAGAGTGTAAATGGTACAAGGACTAAGTTGAATTACTGCGTCAGTAGTCCTTAATTACTCCGACGTAAAGAAATGTTCAGATTTTATCGACTGGTCATATAACATTAAACAGTAAATTTCATGATACTGTTAGATGAATGGAGAAGTCACACAACTGATCTCAGACGGTAAAAAAATATGAAAGGTGCAACAAAGACAAACGACCAGTTTTGGAAACTTATACTTATTTTTTTAATTTAATCTGTATTGATTTGGGTTATCCCGTTGTTGATATATTGACTAGTTTTAGTTGGCGCATGTTCATTCCATGAGGATCACACCCACATAGACACTGCTACAAGTTTACGTAGATCAGACAAAATTCAGCTTACAGTTGGATCCAGGATGTGTTTTCACTCTATTCGGGACTGATCAGCTGGGTGTATCTGTACCTTAGAGGTGGTGTTCACCTTGAGATTCAAACGAATTGCCTTTCATTTCGAACGCCAACGCGTTATCCACCAAGCTACTGAGTCCCTAGTAGTCCTTAATTTGAATTCAGTTAGATTGCATGCTGATGTTTATTGAAACATGCTAATCACCAAACCTCGTATATAATCATCGACTTAAATCGCGTTGGTGAAGAACGGAATTAAATAAGTTAAATACGAAAATGGATTTTTGAATATGTATATTTCGAACAAGCGTTGACTGGAAAGCAAGATAAAACAAAGTGACGTGCAGTAAAGGCAAGTGGGCCAACCCGATTTAATCAAGCTTTAATCAATATTTATAACCAGATAAAAATAATCTACAGATATATGATGAGTAGTATAAGATGTGCACACACATACGCTCATCTAGAAACAATCAGAATAAATAAGCTAATAAGTGACAAGGTCAAAATGTGGTTTAAGAAGAATGAATAGATTGGCTTGTTTGGAAGTTAGAATAAACTATGTAGGGTTAACGTAGCAACTGACAGTACAATTTCATATGATCACTCACTTGTCAAATGTCAATGACAGAATAATCCAAACTACTACAAATTGAAAAATCTATACCATCTCCACATGTGTCTATCTGGATGGAATAGTTAAGTTGACAACGCGTTGGCTTTCGAAACAAAAGGCACTGGGCCCGAAAACCGGGGTGGACATTAACTCTAGGGTACAGGTACACCCACCTGAAGAGTCCCAAACAGGAAAAAGCACATCCTGGATCCTACTGTTAGCCACATTCTATTTATTCCACATAGACCCCATACTCATACCAGTTGTGTGAATAAAAGAATAAATTTAGTTTACTACTGATATGAAGCTTCCTGACTTACTTAAATATGTATTGTTTTAATCTTCAAATCCTAAACTTATTCGATATTGACTGTAATGAAGTCTTTTGATTGCTGTATCACCTTATATATATTATATTTTAAAATAAGTGCACCTGTGAGAACGAATATTCTTTAAACGGAAAATTATATAATAGTCTTTTTATATAGAGAGAGCTAAAAATCACTTCATTTGAAAGAGCAATCACTGAGGACTGATCCTAACGTAAGAAAATTAAGATTAATAAATTGAAAGAATAATGGGAATAAAGTTATACATATAATTCATTAATGAAGTTGTTTCAAAAATACTTTGAACACACGCAAGGACACTGTTAAGAATCTCAATTGGAAAGTGGTAAAATTCAACTTAAACATTCATTGTTACATATGTTGCTGAAATTTGTGATCGTGTAGTTTCAGTATAAACCGAATACTAAAATGTTACCGATATATATATATATATATATATATATATATATATATATATAAACAAAAAACCCAGATACTGATAGAGGACAAAGAATACAACATTGTTGGGATGAGATAATAATTTTTACAAATGTACAGTAATTTACAATGGGCGATTCGAATGTATCATTTAGGAAAACTATATGCAGAATACATAAATAAATTTATCTATCATCCGAAGTAAATCTTCTTTTTTTCCTATTCAAATACCGCTCTTTTTGCCGTTTGCTCATTTGTGCCAGACGTTCATTCTGAACGAGTTTACGGAGTTCCGCTGATAAATTTGGAAAATTAGTTTAAAAGTTATGTTAATAGTGTAAGTAAGCTCTGGCATAAAAAAATACTTGTTGAACTGATCTAAAGTCTAACAAAAAGAACGAGGTTTTAGGACAACGAAACGAACCATAACTATTTCTCAAAGATAGTTTGTATTATGAAGAACATATACATATTAGGAAGCATTTAATGACCGTTATTTTCTAGTTTGTGATTCCCGAACGGAATTCAACCAAGGGTAATAACCTTCCGCTGTGAGCACGATACCATTCCACTATCAAATACAAGTGTCTCTACTCCATATATTCAATTGATTTAAGTCGATAATCACTTTGTGCTTGCGACCGGAAGTAATGAAAACTTGTATCGAAAAGATAAATCAACCAAAAATCTACAAAAGACTGTCAGAATCAGTAACTTATATCCTCATAAACTGTTCCAAGAATTACGTGATTGTTATACTGATTGACAAGTTATAAATAAGGAAGTCAAATAATAACTTTGACGAAATTCGAAGTGGCTAGGGGTTATATGTTCATGTCAGTGAGCCTTACATTCGTAAAATAAAAATAATTTCAGAAAATAATGATAGATTAAAGCGAGACTGATCTGATATTTACCGCGGCAGATAGTGATTATCGGTAAGCACTAATGAAATTTTTCCATAATTGCAACATAAATGTTTCATAGCGAAACTGATTGCAATACTCCGTAAGTGGTGCTGAAAATTCCTTACTGTAAAAATATTTGTAGTAATGAATAAAACGACTGTTACCGCTATATATTGGTGGGTAATATTTAGAACTTTACTTTTAGTTCTTTTCGGTATCTATACTAATACTAATGTAACCCGGCAATTATATGAAATGGTCACAGTGACTAACCACGTCACTCCCTATTAATAGGTTAGACGTTGGTGTAGACCAATAACTAAGGCATTATTTTATTATTTCGGAAGTGAGAAACGGATATCAAATATCCTTATAGTATTAATACATATATTAACGAAATCGCATTTTGCCAATATGAGCACTGAAAAAATGTTGCCTGTATATCCCAGAAGAATTAGAGAACACTCAAGTAGGAAACTAATAATGATCAACTGAAGGAAGAAACTGTTACCTTTGGAAAGGTAAATATAACAAAGTTGGATAAGAATCTAGAAGATAAACGTCGATATAGAATACCGCTTTACGCACACACGGGGATCATAGTTAATAGTATTAAGTGATAAGTGACAAGTCATCGCTCAAATAGGAAAACAAGTGCAGGTGGTGGAACTGCTGAAAACAGAAGTGTTGGTGTGAAGAGCATACCCATTTAATAGATGAAAATTAATTTGCAATGCTCTGAATCCGAGTCGAACAGAATAACTAAGATATGTGTTCAGTATTTTCAGCTAAATGATAATTAGTACTGCTCAACTAAACAAAAGATAAAAGATTTACAGATGTTGGACTAGAAGTTACTACGTCATACTGTATGTTTTAAATCCAGGTTTAAAGTGTCATGAAGTGAAAGCAAAGCATTCAGAAAACCGATAAAACGATTAGTTTGATTCAGGTTTTACAAAACATCTGCAAAAGCATCTCATTATGACTTGATTGATTGGTTAGAGGTATCTATTTCCAAAGACATCATTCATTTTGCTCTTAAACATATTCTCAACGTTCTTATTCAGTTTACTACACGTTCTACTAGACACATTACACAAACTCCTTTAACAAATTAATTGCATTTATTCATTTTTAGGTATAAAAACTTTAGTAAATGCACATTTATAGCTTTTAGAAAACCCAAATGTGACGAAAGAGTTACGTCAAAAGAAAAGAATGTCTGAAAATTATTCCCAGTTATTTTAGGCTCTTGAAAAAGTAGCATACGTGTACTTACCTCGAGGAATAAAACGAACAGATCTCCCTGATTCCAAGTTTTCAATTTGTTCCTTCTGCAGTTTATCCATGAATTGCTTACGGAATTTTCTATCTTTTGCTGTGGCTATTCGCTGTCTTACCAAATGTAACGCATCCGTCACTTCCTTACGTTTGTTCGGGTCTAAATTCTGACGCAGCATCTTTTTCAGTTTCTGGTTTGGAAGTATATATTCACATAGCAGAAAGCAGAGAAACATTTTAATAGGAACATTTACGACAATATGCAGATAACTAGTTACTAACCTGATAAAAAATATCCCAAATTTGAAAAATACAGTAGGTTTTGAATTCAGTACAATGCTTTATAGTCACAGTAAACTACATTGAATAGCCAGATGATTGCGGTAGAAGATATAAGTTGCTATGGTTGGGTGAGAGTGATATTATTTATTTGAACATATAAATATTAGTACAAGGGGGGCACTAAATATATATGCGCCACACAAAACAATGAGAATTCGAAGAGAAAAAAAGAAGGTAAGGAGTGTTAAAAAAAGAACAATAACGAACAGATTAGTGTAAGGTAGTGTAATAATAATAATAAAGGGGGGAAACGAAAAGATACAACCAGAAGAATTCCTTCAGTTAAGGAAGATACAACCACTTTTTTATGAAGAAAGTAAAAGAAGGTTACAGCAGGATCGCCACTGGCTTCTATTTTGAACCATATCTGATAACGTCTCTAACCACTGTGTAGCACCATCTCTCGGAGCCCAACCAGGGAGTCATGAAGGATCAACACAAGCCAGCCCTTTGCAGCTTTCTTTCATACCACGACACGATGTCATACACTGACCACCTCTCCGCTTTTTCCATCCAGTCCCAGAGTCGGCAAATAATGCACGACGTGGAATTCTCTGGGACGACATTCGTAGAACATGTCCAAGCCACCGAAGTCGGTGTTTCAAGATGGTAACACCAATTGAGTTATCATCTCTGTGCCCGAACACACGATGCCGAACCTCTGCATTACTAACATGGTGTTGCCACTGGATGTCAGCAATCCTTCGGAGACAACCATGATACAACACAGAGAGTCGTCTAACGTCCTCAACTCGGAGGCCAGGTTTTACAAACATAGAGCAAAACTGCTCTCACCGACGCGTTGTTGATCCGACCTTTTACAGCCAGACTGACATCACGAAGGCACCAAAGATGGCCCAGATTGGCATAAGTCGCTTTGGCTTTCCCTATACGTGCATTGATCTCATCACTTCGAAGGTGCAAAGCACATACCATACCTACGGACACTGATTAAGTGCGGATTGCATGCCTTGGGCATTATCGCACAGTATGACAATATCATCCGCATACTCAAGGTCGAGAAGTCTTTTTCCAGGCAACAGATCCACACCGCCATTACTTACATCCATCAGAGCTGTTTCCAGAATGTCATCGATGGCAAAGTTGAAGAGGAATGGTGAGATTGGGCAACCCTGCCTAACCCCACTGCACGAGTGGAACAATGGAGAGAGGTGGTTGTATGCCCTCACTCTACCTGAGGTGTTTGTATATAGCGCTTTTAGGATGTTAATAAACTTCTCAGGCACACCCTTCTTCAATAGGCAATCCCACAGAGCAGTCCTATCCAAGGAATGGAAGGCAACCCTGATGTCAAGAAACACTACGACTGCTGGCCTTTGATAAGTATGGAGGTGTCCTAACATTTGGCGGAGAGTGAAGATATGACCAATACATCCTCGACCGGAACGAAAACCAGCCTGCTCCTCGCGAGTCAATCTTTCTCGGGTTTTGAACAACCTACGAAGTATGACGGAAGCCAATAGCTTGGACGCAATCGGAAGCAAACTTATCCTCCGATAGTTGTTACAGGAATGACATGAACCCTTTTTATAGATAGAGACAACTATCGACTCATTCCATGAAGTTGGTACACTCTCTAGCTCACAAACCTTTGTAAACAACGTTATGAGTTCCTTAACTAGAAGTCACCACTATCTTTAAAAAGAGCCGGAGGTAATTCATCTGGGCCTGGTGAATTGTAGCGCCTTAAGAGTTGGAGTTCCTTGCGGACTTCCTCCTCATTTGGTGGATCAGTCGTCACCGGCCATGGAGGGCAGGACAGTCTGACCGATGTTGTCGGAGCAGCAGGCCAGTTGAACTGCCCTTCGAAGAATTCTGCACATCGTCCAAGACGTCGATGGATGTTAGTGATTGGCATCCCGTCCTCCTCACAGATTGTTTCACTCACACCAGACTTCTTGCTGCCAGTGGCTCGGATGAGCTGGAAGAGCATCCGGTGATTACCAGATGCAGCTGCTGCTTCCAACTCATTAGCACTCTCCGACCACCAGGCTTCTCGGTCCTTACGCAAGCTTTGCCCGATTTCATTACGTAACATCCTTCATTTGTGGTCAAACTCACGGTCACCCGGAGTAGACCGACGGGCTTCGATGAGTTGCAAGGAGCCTGGAGAAACCCAGTGCTTATAAGCGGGACGTTTCGCGAAGCCGCAAGCGGCTTTACTCACCATTTTCATGGCGTCATGCAATTGCAACCAATGCTCATCTATACTTTTCGGTGGAATGGTAGCTAGCCTAGAGGCTAGCTCGGTTCGATACTTACCTGCAACAGAAGTTGCAACCAACTTGCTGACATCAATCCTTTCGTGGCGGTCACTTCGTTGGCCACTGAAGAGTAAGGTAAGATTGGCGGCAGTCTTGTACACAACCACGCCAGCGGTAGCTGATCGTGATGTGATTAATCTGAGTTCAGGCTTGAGATGCAGAGGAAGGACGCCAGGTGGCGCATCGGCGATGACTGTGCCGGAAGTTAGTGCTAGCCAGAAACAGGTTGTGGTATGTGCATAGTTGCAGTAGACGGTCCCCGTTATCTGTCCTGAGACCAACAAGTCCCCTTCGGCCAACTAAACGACTCTCTTCTGTGCCTAGACACCCGACCTGAGCACTCAAATCTCCGGCTAGTACTGCAATATTTGTCGAACGCACTTTCTGGAGAAGAACAGATAATTGGTGGTAGAAATCATCCTTGATTGCATCCGGACTGCAATCTGTAGGGGCATAGGTGGAGATGACGAAAAGACATCGTTCCTCACGCCGATTTCTTCTCACTTTGATGGAACTTTCTAATCTAACAGCACATAATCGACTGTTAACGGGGATCCAATCGATTAGTGCTGCCTCAGCTCTAGCGTTTAGTGCGACACCAACGCCAGCAAGACTAGACGAAGATGCCACAGGGTCCCAGGATAAACGCATGTACAACAAGCTTTTTGAGGCGACAGATGGAGTGTGAATTTGTAGTTCTTCACCAGAGTCTTGAATACGGGTCTCGGATAGACAACAAACATCAATATTAAGACTTTCCAAAGACATAGCCAGCCTTATCTGTTGTCCGACCTGTATAAATGTGCGAACGTTGAAGGTAGCCAGTTTGAATGGTGCACGTGGTTTCAGAAAAACTGCTTCAGTATGCGTATTTGGTAGTAGCATACAGTTTTCTACCAGGCAGTGACTCGAAAACGTTTAGATAGAACATCAGAAAAATTCACCACACTTGTTATTTTGTATTAATATGTGAAATCTTTAACAGTTTTTAACATTTCTAGAGCTGGAAAATTCTCGGGACTTGATAAACTTGTAGAATACTTAACAGTACTACAAAATCCACCTCGGTGACCAAAGTACATATGAGTGAACATGAAATAACCAGGATATTTTGACCAAATAACTCATTTCTTATTATAGTATGTTTTATCTATTTATTTAAACACATAAACATTGGTATGAGGAGGCACCAAATAGATATGCACCACATAAATCATTCGATTTGTGTGAGGGCTGGAATACTGCCTGGGTGCACAAACCGAAGGTGGTTATCTTAGGGGGCTACTCCCTGAATCTTTTACTTAAAGGTTTAATCCACGAGGCAGTGGAGTAATGTAAGGAGATGCAGTCCCATGGTAGCCTGTGACCAACAATTGGTTCATACACCATTTGTTCCCTCAGGATCCTGGAGCCCATATGCACCAGTAGTTTGGAGTCGGGTCTTGTAACTCCCCTAGGTGAGCCTTCCGTACTTACAAACCCGGTTAGAGCGCCAGACATTCGCTTTTCGTCCTTCCAGTTTTATAAACAATGCCCACGCCACGAGAAGGCAGTGAGTAGGGCTTTTTCTGGCAGTGGTATGCACGTGGCCATGTAACAGCATTTCGAGGAGAGCTGACTCTCCCCACTTTCTGCCGTACCACGGCATTTGGAGGTATGTTTTAAGTCACTTACTTATCGCAATGAAGGGTTTCAAGTAGAAATATCTTTATGAAGTGAAAAGATTGGGTACAACAGCAACCGTTAACCTGGTAACTTTAAGGTACTACCTCACTCGGTTAGGAGAGTCCCATATATACTCATATTAACAGCATATCTCCTCTGGATAACATTTAACGTCTACTTTAGTCAAGAGCTTTTTGTATTTTCTGCTACTAGTACTAATTTCTTCTTAGTGTTTCTTTTATCTCGTAAACCTTGTAAAAGTGATCTATAGAATAACACACCATATTCTACGAAGAACCATTTATGGTTACGTATTGAATTTTATAAATTTTGAACGTAGCGACATGTCGGAAGGTAGATATCAATAATTAACACCTCAGGATTCACAGTAACGGATAGGTTCGGTCATTAAGCAGATGCACCTATATTCGAATTCGTTGACTAGTTTATTTTAAGTTATTTTATTCTTCAGGTGGTATTGTAAGTTTTCTTCGATATCCACTCTTAGTGGTATAGCAAATCAATGAAGTTGTGTCAAATAATATATCCATGCTTACTGAACCCACATAGACACAGAACAGAATTAAATAATTATACATCAAAACATGTGACATACTTTTAAGGTTTTCGCTCTTTCATCTTCTAAAAATTCCCAATCATCAACGTAACAAATACCATCAACTCTAGGGTCAAATCTAGGGTCACTCTTGCGATTTTGTTTACGTTTCAACGATTGAATACCGTCTTGATAAACACTTTTAAGGTTTTCTGTTAGATATATTTTCTTTTTCTTAAATTCCTTAAATGACGTTTCTAATGGAGCATCATCACTATTATCATCCATACTATAAGAAAAAACGAGAACATTTGAAAACAAATCCACGGTTTAGTTTCACCGATAACATGAAAATATGTTAGAGACAACAAAGTCAAGACTGAACCAACTATAGGATAAGACAGTGCAAAAAACATTTTTCTCCCCTATATAACTTGGTACAAGTAGTCACAGAACTAATTACATTAACATCAAAAGTAATGTCCCTATGGCTTTGTACCGAATGCTCCAATGACTGGTAAATTCTTAGGCTAATGGTCTCACAAATACAGTAGAAAGATTCCAATGTATCTGGGGACAATACTTGATGTGGGGTCGTCTCAAGGAAAATCAGCGAAATAACTCGTAGTTCAGAAATAATTTCTTTATGTTAGACAACTGAGAGAAAATGTAGAGTTATGACACTTGCCGAATAAAGGCTACAAAGCACAAAATATAGAATCAGATTTTCTGTAAACTAAAAATTTCCAGTGTGAATGACCGAGCGTAGGACTGGTATTAGGACCTGTGATCAACCAGTAAAGTTCTATATTTTTCCTACTTTCTAGGGCAATTTATTTCCTTGATACATTTTTCCCCATTTATTGATGTACATAAGTGTATCATTTTGTGATTAAATGTAGGTTTAAAGAGATCCAATTTGCATCGAGTTTCAAACAAAATCCTTGATTCTCCAAATGTCACTTTATATTAATAGTGATATTAACGGCAATGATGATAATACAAGTTATTCAAATATGTACATATATGTGAAATTCGATTTCAGCAAAACCAAAACAAAATAGATGGAGGATTAAAGCTGTAGCTTAGTGGCTGAAGATCTAATACACTAACCTCCAAGCCATCGGTATTAAGGTCAGAAATATAAACTTAAATTCACATGTTTCAGTGATTGAAAAACTTAACTAACCTAGATAGAGAGCATTCTGAGTACTTGATACATAAACTTATAAGATATCCGGCTTTCCAAATTAAACGTGTTTACAAAAGCGTTAGCATAACAGTATGATTAATAATATCAAGTTTTGTTATAAAGTTTTACCAGTAGATGAAGGTAAATGTGCAAAAAGAGAAGCTCATGATCCGATCACTGTTAAGTTTAGTACACTGGAAGTTACATACATGTGTTTAAAACACATTGTTGTTTCAAAAATCATATTACGAAAAAGAATGGTGGGTAGTAACCAGGTTGGTTTCGTAGCCAGGAATTTTGCCAACACGATCCTTTAACATGAAGACAACCCTGTTCTCACATTATTAGGGCCCAAACAACCAGTGCAACTGTAATTGTATGTAAGTCGTTACAGCGACTTACTCTTATTGAATACATTTTACAAATGCTTCTCAAGAAACTACTGGTAGTTGAAGGATCTATGGAAATGACCTGTAAGTACTGAGTTAGATAACAATTTTACCCAAGATAAGCGTTAGTCTGAATATTTGTTTAATACAAAAGTACATTGCAGGTGAGCTTTTGTTATTATGCAGAGGGAACATGATAAACGTCTACATACAATGGAGACATTTCATACAAGCAAATCGATTGTCGCCACCCTATTTTTGGTGTAGTACTTCTAAGCAGATTCAGCTTGTTAGTTGGTGTTAACAAAAGAAAGCTTATCAACACCTATGTGCAACTACAGGTTTATAGGGTTTTTCGGGTTACCAAATGCACGGGACTGCAATAAGAACCCTTGTAAATGAAGTTTTTGTTGATATTGTCCGCCAGTTCATGAACTATTGCGGATTTATCACGATGACAACGTAAGCACTGAGTTACAGCTAAAAAAGAAAACACTCGTCGTCCACTGTTATATAAAATTAAAAGTACGAAATTAAAATTCAAGTATATATGCCTGCACCATATATGGTGCAATAGGGGGTCATTGTTTTTTTTACTGGCATTTGCAGTACTCCTACAAGTCCCACTTGAATAGGACCCACACCTAAGAAAGGTTTTAGCTTTTTTCGTATCTCCAGAAAATTTATAATGCAGCTTTCTTAAAACTCAGAATTCTCGCCAAGATCGGATTGGGAGAAACAAACAGGAGATGTACTTGGAGCATGCGTTAAACCTTATTTGTTATATGAAGAACTTACATCTACATAGAAAACACAATTTTGCTTGCAAGAAAAACTTAGTGTAGGACGAAAAAGAAAACTTGAAAATGTCGGGTGGTGGCGCAGAATTTAGATGTGTCACATTATGATTTAGATTTGTCTGGTAAGGACAGAAGGCCCACTGATCGTATCACCCCTTTTCTGGTAGGCTTCTGAGTGTCTAGTTTTTTGTTGCATCAGTCAAATAAAGAGGCGGGCACCACTTCCGACGGTAACAGGTTTCAGGAATCTATAAACCAGTGTGAAAACCTGTATGCCTTGGGTATTTTGTTCGTTTTTCGGCTTTCCTATTTGTCTGTTATGTCTTCTGAGTTGCCCTGAACTGGTAGGAAGAAAAAGAGGGTAAATATCAGATTTAAGATTATGTACTACTATTCTATTCATCAAAATCAGACCACCCCTTAATCAGTGGTAGGAAAGATTAAAAAGGTGGAGCTGCTCTTTGTATAGCTGACCTTGGATTTCTGAAATTGCACGGCTGTGTATACTGTAGTGAACATGTTACAATCCAAATTGGTAAATGTTTGTCTTATAGCCCATAGGGTTCTGAACCACTTGGCAGCGACCGTTAGGCAGTGAGCCGTAGTCTTAAGATCATGGTTTGTTGTTACCCCAAGATCACTGTGAGATCGATCTACGGATAAAGACTCTCCCACTATGCTGCAACTATTTACCTTTGTACCCACAATGTGCATGTAGACAAGCTTTTCCGCTTTGAAAGGCATCACTAATTTTTCAGACCATCCAACAGGAACATCTGAAGTGCATATGCGTCTGCATCCACTGTTAATTCTCGCCAAATTCCTAAATCATCATCATAAAGCAGTATTGGAGACTTAACTATGCTTGAGAGACCATTTACATGCAGTATAAAAAGTAGATCACCTAGGAGAGAGTCTTGACGTACTCTGTTAAGTACCGGTTCCCAGGGGGGGATTTTGAATTTATTCTTACTTCCTGCCTACAATCTGCTACGAAACCCTTGTTTGACTTTGAGATAGGTCCAGCAATTCCTAGATTCTCTAGCTTTAGGGGGAGTATTATTCTGAATCTGATCATACACTTCGCGGAAGTCTACGTAGGCGGAATCCAGTGATTTTCCATTACCTGGAACCTCCGTCCATTTCTCATGTTATAAGGCTTATTGAGCAAAGTAATCCCTTCCTAAACCCATATTGTTCACTGTTTGACAAATTCTTAGTTTCCATGAATGTAATTGTAGCCTTTTTATTATTTCTACCAGTACTTTACTACGAATCTGGTGAAGCTGACAGGTTTGTGGCTTGATGGGAGTTGTCTTAGTCCTGTCTTATGAATTGGAGTGGTAATAAAATCTTTCCAGTCCATAAGTAAAAATTTTAAGGTGTAGTTCATCCAGTCCCATTGATTTTTCCGTGTTTAAATACCAAAGGTGTTTGGTACGCCGTCTTGATCCAAATTCACAGTGAGCAGCTAATTTTGTGACTTTGTATTTGGGTCTAGTCAATCGTCTAGAATGGGCTCCTGTATGAAAAATGTCCCCAAATTGTTCATCATTCCTCCTGTTTTTTCTTGGTCTTCCTCCGTCATTCATGATGCACTCCTGTAATGAGGTTTGGAATCCAATGGTAAGTTCTTGTTCTGTAAATTATGTACAAGAACAGTCTCTTCGGCAGATCGATTACAGATTGAGCCGACTGCTTTTCGTATTTTTGCTGAGCTGCCCAGACTGTGCTTAAACACTTATTTCCGACCGACCTGTAGCGTCCCATCGTATTTGACGTCTCAAGGCTGATGGCAACGTTCCAATATTTTTGTCTTACCCGACGTCAAATATCTCGGTTTATCAAGTACCTTGATTGTATAACTGCCGAAAATTAGTCCATGCTCCTCTTACTGATGTGTTGGAGTCAGTTTTTCATTTTTTGATCGAGGCTGGGAAGTTGATCTCCTTCACATCTGCGTTTCATAAGTTAGAACTGCCTGCCCAACTGCTTGATGGAGAGTGGAGCCCATGAACTTGAATAAGATAATCACATGATCATTCCTCCTCATAGGTGGAAGGAACATTATTTGACTAGAGTCATCATGTTGTGTAAAGACTGAGTCCAAGACAAACGAGGAGTATTTAAGGTCAGATGTTGTTAGATCTCCAACGTGCCGAAATAAAACTAGAGCGATTACAGTTCCTAACAATTTGTGATCAGACAGTGTTTTTGATTGCCCTAAATTAGTAAGCGTACAAAAATTTAACATTCATTCATGTCGCAACTGACTGAACGATAAAATAACATGTTCGTGTGATCGATTCTAAATATCGTGAAAATAGTAATAAATAAATTAGTGTATTTGTAATATCCCAATGATTAGAAAAGTTAGATTTTCTGACGTTTCGTGACTCAGTGTAAGCGACTTCTGCATAGAATATATAATCAAATGAAAATTAATCCGAGTTTAAATAGTACAACAGAACAGCACAAGAATATATTAGTTTATTTATAACGATCTACCCAATGCTCAATTTATTCGGAATTATCAAGTCAAACCTTGGTAATGATACCTACAGAGTAATAAATCGTTTATGGGTATCCCAGTGGAAAAAGTCGTGAAAATAAGTAAGGTAGAATATGATAACTTGGTCTGTGGTGCCGACTGAGTATGATGATAAAGGACAGTGAAATATGAAGATGTTCTGATTAGCCACAGCAGAGTAAATAGCGTCGATTAGCAACCAGTGGATTCGAATTCATATCCATGGAGTTTATATGAGATAAAAATAATCCAACCGTAAAATGATAACTGTATTGATGGGCGACATGCGTTGCCGTACTGCAATTGATAGTAATCATAAAATGCGAAGTCAGCGCACCTCGTCGCTCGCGTCGCAACCAGATGCTTCTAGTCATCGC